TTAGACCTGGTTTAGACCTGGTTTTAGTCCTGGTTTAGTCCCTGGTTTAGTCCTGGTTTTAGTCCTGGTTTTTTAGTCCTGGTTTAGTCCTGGTTTAGTTTACCTGGTTTAGACCTGGTTTTAGTCCTGGTTTAGTCCTGGTTTAGACCTGGTTTAGAGTCCTGGTTTAGTCCTGGTTTAGACCTGGTTTAGACCTGGTTTAGTCCTGGTTTAGTCCTGGTTTAGTCCTGGTTTAGACCTGGTTTTAGACCTGGTTTAAGTCCTGGTTTAGTCCTGGTTTAGACCTGGTGGTTTAGACCTGGTTTAGACCTGGTTTTAGACCTGGTTTAGTCCTGGTTTAGTCCTGGTTTAGACCTGGTTTAGACCTGGTTTAGTCTGGTTTAGTCCTGGTTTAGACCTGGTTTAGACCTGGTTTAGACCTGGTTTAGTCCCTGGTTTAGTCCTGGTTTAGTCCTGGTTTAGACCTGGTTTAGTCCTGGTTTAGTCCTGGTTTAGACCTGGTTTTAGACCTGGTTTAGTCCTGGTTTAGTCCTGGTTTAGACCTGGTTTAGACCTGGTTTAGTCCTGGTTTAAGACCTGGTTTTAGTCCTGGTTTAGTCCTGGTTTAGACCTGGTTTAGATCCTGGTTTAGTCCTGGTTTAGTCCTGGTTTAGACCTGGTTTAGTCCTGGTTTAGTCCTGGTTTAGTCCTGGTTTAGTCCTGGTTTAGACCTGGTTTTAGTCCTGGTTTAGTCCTGGTTTAGTCCTGGTTTAGACCTGGTTTTAGACCTGGTTTAGTCCTGGTTTAGTCCTGGTTTTAGACTGGTTTAGTCCTGGTTTAGTCCTGGTTTAGACCTGGTTTTAGACCTGGTTTAGTCCTGGTTTAGACCTGGTTTTAGACCTGGTTTAGTCCTGGTTTAGACCTGGTTTTAGACCTGGTTTAGTCCTGGTTTAGTCCTGGTTTAGACCTGGTTTTAGACCTGGTTTAGACCTGGTTTAGACCTGGTTTAGACCTGGTTTAGTCCTGGTTTAGTCCTGGTTTAGACCTGGTTTAGACCTGGTTTTAGACCTGGTTTAGTCCTGGTTTAGTCCTGGTTTAGTCCTGGTTTAGACCTGGTTTAGTCCTGGTTTAGTCCTGGTTTAACCTGGTTTTAGACCTGGTTTTAGTCCTGGTTTAGTCCTGGTTTAGTCCTGGTTTAGTCCTGGTTTAGACCTGGTTTTAGACCTGGTTTAGACCTGGTTTTAGACCTGGTTTAGTCCTGGTTTAGTCCTGGTTTAGACCTGGTTTTAGACCTGGTTTAGTCCTGGTTTTAGTCCTGGTTTAGTCCTGGTTTAGTCCTGGTTTAGACCTGGTTTAGTTTACCTGGTTTAGTCCTGGTTTTAGACCTGGTTTAGTCCTGGTTTAGTCCTGGTTTAGACCTGGTTTAGACCTGGTTTTAGACCTGGTTTAGTCCTGGTTTTAGTCCTGGTTTAGACCTGGTTTTAGACCTGGTTTAGTCCTGGTTTTAGTCCTGGTTTAGTCCTGGTTTAGACCTGGTTTTAGACCTGGTTTAGTCCTGGTTTTAGTCCTGGTTTAGTCCTGGTTTAGACCTGGTTTTAGACCTGGTTTAGTCCTGGTTTTAGACCTGGTTTAGACCTGGTTTGGTTTAGTCCTGGTTTAGACCTGGTTTAGTCCTGGTTTAGTCCTGGTTTTAGACCTGGTTTAGTCCTGGTTTAGACCTGGTTTTAGACCTGGTTTTAGTCCTGGTTTAGTCCTGGTTTAGACCTGGTTTTAGTCCTGGTTTAGTCCTGGTTTAGTCCTGGTTTAGACCTGGTTTTAGACCTGGTTTAGTCCTGGTTTAGACCTGGTTTTAGACCTGGTTTAGTCCTGGTTTAGTCCTGGTTTAGTCCTGGTTTAGACCTGGTTTTAGACCTGGTTTAGTCCCTGGTTTAGACCTGGTTTAGACCTGGTTTAAGACCTGGTTTAGACCTGGTTTAGTCCTGGTTTAGTCCTGGTTTAGACCTGGTTTTAGACCTGGTTTAGTCCTGGTTTAGTCCTGGTTTAGTCCTGGTTTTAGACCTGGTTTAGACCTGGTTTAGACCTGGTTTAGTCCTGGTTTAGTCCTGGTTTTAGACCTGGTTTTAGTCCTGGTTTAGTCCTGGTTTAGTCCTGGTTTAGACCTGGTTTTAGACCTGGTTTAGACCTGGTTTAGTCCTGGTTTAGTCCTGGTTTAGACCTGGTTTTAGTCCTGGTTTAGTCCTGGTTTTAGTCCTGGTTTAGTCCTGGTTTAGTCCTGGTTTAGTCCTGGTTTAGTCCTGGTTTAGACCTGGTTTTAGTCCTGGTTTAGTTCCTGGTTTAGTCCTGGTTTTAGACCTGGTTTTAGTCCTGGTTTAGTCCTGGTTTAGTCCTGGTTTAGACCTGGTTTTAGACCTGGTTTTAGTCCTGGTTTAGTCCTGGTTTTAGACCTGGTTTAGTCCTGGTTTAGTCCTGGTTTAGACCTGGTTTTAGTCCTGGTTTAGTCCTGGTTTAGACCTGGTTTAGACCTGGTTTAGTCCTGGTTTAGTCCTGGTTTAGACCTGGTTTTAGACCTGGTTTAGACCTGGTTTTAGACCTGGTTTAGTCCTGGTTTAGTCCTGGTTTAGACCTGGTTTTAGACCTGGTTTAGTCCTGGTTTTAGTCCTGGTTTAGACCTGGTTTAGACCTGGTTTAGACCTGGTTTAGTCCTGGTTTTAGTCCTGGTTTAGTCCTGGTTTACCTGGTTTAGTCCTGGTTTAGTCCTGGTTTAGACCTGGTTTTAGACCTGGTTTAGTCCTGGTTTAGTCCTGTTTAGTTTAGACCTGGTTTAGTCCTGGTTTAGTCCTGGTTTAGTTTACCTGGTTTTAGTCCTGGTTTAGTCCTGGTTTTAGTCCTGGTTTTAGTCCTGGTTTAGTCCTGGTTTAGTCCTGGTTTAGACCTGGTTTTAGTCCTGGTTTAGTCCTGGTTTAGTCCTGGTTTAGTCCTGGTTTAGACCTGGTGGTTTAGTCCTGGTTTAGTCCTGGTTTAGTTTAGACCTGGTTTAGACCTGGTTTTAAGACCTGGTTTAGTCCTGGTTTAGTCCTGGTTTTAGACCTGGTTTAGTCCTGGTTTAGTCCTGGTTTAGACCTGGTTTTAGACCTGGTTTAGTCCTGGTTTAGACCTGGTTTAGACCTGGACCTGGTTTAGTCCTGGTTTAGACCTGGTTTTAGACCTGGTTTTAGTCCTGGTTTAGTCCTGGTTTTAGTCCTGGTTTAGACCTGGTTTTAGTCCTGGTTTAGTCCTGGTTTAGTCCTGGTTTAGTCCTGGTTTAGACCTGGTTTTAGACCTGGTTTAGACCTGGTTTTAGACCTGGTTTAGTCCTGGTTTTAGTCCTGGTTTTAGACCTGGTTTTAGACCTGGTTTAGTCCTGGTTTAGTCCTGGTTTAGTTTACCTGGTTTAGACCTGGTTTAGACCTGGTTTAGACCTGGTTTAGTCCTGGTTTTAGACCTGGTTTAGTCCTGGTTTAGTCCTGGTTTTAGACCTGGTTTAGACCTGGTTTTAGACCTGGTTTAGTCCTGGTTTAGTCCTGGTTTAGTCCTGGTTTTAGACCTGGTTTAGTCCTGGTTTAGTCCTGGTTTTAGTAGACCTGGTTTAGACCTGGTTTTAGACCTGGTTTAGTCCTGGTTTAGTCCTGGTTTTCCTGGTTTTAGACCTGGTTTAGTCCTGGTTTAGTCCTGGTTTAGTTCCTGGTTTAGACCTGGTTTTAGACCTGGTTTAGTCCTGGTTTAGTCCTGGTTTAGTCCTGGTTTTAGACCTGGTTTAGTCCTGGTTTAGACCTGGTTTTAGACCTGGTTTTAGTCCTGGTTTAGTCCTGGTTTAGACCTGGTTTTTAGTCCTGGTTTAGTCCTGTTTAGTCCTGGTTAAGTCCTGGTTTAGACCTGGTTTAGTCCTGGTTTAGACCTGGTTTTAGACCTGGTTTAGTCCTGGTTTTAGACCTGGTTTTAGACCTGGTTTAGTCCTGGTTTAGTCCTGGTTTAGTCCTGGTTTAGACCTGGTTTTAGACCTGGTTTAGTCCTGGTTTAGACCTGGTTTTAGACCTGGTTTAGTCCTGGTTTAGACCTGGTTTTAGACCTGGTTTTAGTCCTGGTTTAGTCCTGGTTTAGACCTGGTTTTAGACCTGGTTTAGTCCTGGTTTAGTCCTGGTTTAGACCTGGTTTTAGACCTGTTTTAGACCTGGTTTAGTCCTGGTTTAGACCTGGTTTTAGACCTGGTTTTTAGTCCTGGTTTAGTCCTGGTTTAGACCTGGTTTTAGTCCTGGTTTAGTCCTGGTTTAGTCCTGGTTTAGTCCTGGTTTTAGACCTGGTTTAGTCCTGGTTTAGACCTGGTTTTAGACCTGGTTTAGTCCTGGTTTAGACCTGGTTTAGACCTGGTTTAGTCCTGGTTTAGTCCTGGTTTAGACCTGGTTTTAGTCCTGGTTTAGTCCTGGTTTAGTCCTGGTTTAGTCCTGGTTTAGACCTGGTTTTAGACCTGGTTTATTGTCTGGCAATGAGTGGGAAAAAAAAAAAAAAAAAAAGGGATTTAGCCCAAAATATAAAAACAGTAAAATTCCTCTGTTTAATCCATTTATTTCAACAAAGTAACTGTAATCCAATTACCACTCACTGAAACAGTAACTGTAACTGAATACAGTTACTCATCATTTGTACTCTGATTACTCTGGTACATGTAATCTGTTACTCCCCGACACTGTTTACACAACAAACATAAAACCGTCTCCGTCCCAACAGAGACGTCGCCTCACGTCTGTTTTTATCACAGAAATATTCACCAACTCGTCATAACGACTTCAGTTCATCACAAATCTGTTTAATCTTGTCAAAATAAAACAATAAAAACAAAACAAATCGTCCTGACCTCTGGACCACACGCTCCCGACGTTTACCACCTCAGCCTGTCAAACATTTACTCAGAGTCCTGCCCCAGACCTCGGACTAGACCAGGACTAGACCAGGACTAGACCGGGACTGTGCCAGGACTAGAGCGCGACTCTGTGCGGACCTGAGCAGGACTCTTCTGGGACTCGGTGCGGACCTGAGCAGGACTCTTCTGGGACTCGGCGAGGACTGGTTCAGGACCAGGATGAGGTCTAACGTGGATCTGACGTTGGTGTTTTTGCTCCTGAGTCTGGGCTCGGTCCTGGGTCAGAACACAGGTGAGTTACTCTTTAAACACAAATCAAACAGAGTCAAACAGAATCATTCTCACGCTCGTTTTTACTTTTTCTGATGGATTTTAAATTAATTCTGTTTAATTAAAGTTGTTAGGAATTAGGAAAATGTACTTCAAACAACTTTACGTTTATTTTCACTGAATAAACATGAATTAAAAGTGAAAATTGCATCACGTTTACCTTCCTCGTCCTGGGATCTTCTTTGACGATCGCACTGATTTTAAAGCTGCACTGTGTCACTTTTTCTGCTCGTCTCCATGGAGATTTTATTGCTTTGCCTGGAATATTCCAAAGTGTGGCTTTAAGCGTATTTATCTTGGATTTTTGGCGAGGATGGAGCCGCTGAAGAACTCGTGATAATGTTCCTTTCAAACTTTAATAACTCGTTCTTTTAAACTCATGCGGATTCAAATCTGGACACAAATATTTGACATTTTAGAGATTAAATTTGTCTTTTAGAGCGACGGAAACTTTGCGTAGAGAGTCCAGACGTCCCAGTTTTGAGCCTGTGTCCACTGTCCCTGCAGATTTATACAAAACCACTGATTTGTCCCAGTTTTATATAAGAAATGTCCCAGGTAGTTGTGTGTAAAAATATCAAAATATCAATATATCGTATCGTTTAATCCAAGGGTGTTGAAATCATTTTGTTCCGGGCGTCGTGTCCAACCGACTTTGTTCCCAAAGTGTCTGGATCAGAAAACTCATGTCATATAAACCCCCAAAATAACAATAAGTTCAAATATTTGTGCAAAGAAACACAAATCTATTACACAAATCTTTTTGAATTGATGAACTTTTTCTTTTACAAAATATTATAATATTATGAATAGGGCTGGTATCATTAAGGAGTTGCCGATACGATACACACCTCGATACGCGGGCCACGATACGATACACACCTCGATACGCGGCCACGATACGATACACACCTCGATACGCGGGCCACGATACGATACACACCTCGATACGCGGGCCACGATACGATACACACCTCGATACGCGGGCCACGATACGATACACACCTCGATACGCGGGCCACGATACGATACACACCTCGATACGCGGGCCACGATACGATACACACCTCGATACGCGGGCCACGATACGATACACACCTCGATACACGGGCCACGATACGATACACACCTCGATACACGGGCCACGATACGATACACACCTCGATACGCGGGCCACGATACGATACACACCTCGATACGCGGGCCACGATACGATACACACCTCGATACACAGGCCACGATACGATACACACCTCGATACACGGGCCACGATGCGATACACACCTCGATACGCGGGCCACGATACGATACACACCTCGATACACGGGCCACGATACGATACACACCTCGATACAGTGCACTTTCCATTCGATATGATATATTTCAAATCTATTTGATACGGTTCAATAAAAAATAAAGGCTAAATCGTGTTTGTGATACTAAAAGTCTTTGTTAAACTTCTTGTGCAAAGTTCATATGAAACACAAACATTTTAATCCTCAAAACAGTAAAAATGTCAAATGTGTCACATAAATGAGTTTCCTTCCACTAAACAAACAACAAAACTGTAGCTGGAACAAAATCATTTAGTAAAACACACATAAAAATCCTCTTGGTGAAATATCGATACAGCAGCCCACGATATCGATACTGTATCATCACGTTAAACGATATGATATATCGATATTCCGATATTTTTGCACACCCCTAATTATGAACAACCTGAAACTTTAAGAAAAATACAATTTCAACACAAAGTTTGAACATGAACTTGTCTGTAAACAGGAATAAATCCATTTTTGTTGTAAAATCCTGCACTCGGCTCCACTTTTCTCATGTTGGACATTTTTCTGATGAGGGTGTCACGGTCAACAGTCAAAACGATCGTCCTTTAAGAGCGTTTGGAAAGAGACAAGTCTTCATTTGTGCTGCTCTGGTGGGAGGGGCCACGTACAGAGACGCTGGAGACGCTGCTGTGATAAACACCACAGAAAATTAACACCATTTTAATAGAAAATATCAATACAATATTTTAGTAGAAAATGAGCCGAGGGCCAGATTAAAGGTCTTGGAGGGTCGGATCTGGCCCCCGGGCCGTATGTTTGACACTTCTGGTTTAATGTGATGATACAGTATCGATATCGTGGGCTGCTGTATCGAGTATTTTGGGTTTATTTGACTAAATTCTTCAGCTCCAGTTGTGTCGCTTGTTTAGTGGAAGGAAACTCGTTTATGCGACACATTTGACATTTTCACCGTTTTGATGAAACTTTGAGGACTTCTTCTTCAAAGTTTCAAATGAACTTTGCACAAGAAGTGATTCGACAAAAACGTTAGATTCTAATATTTCACCGTAGACAAACATGTAGAACATCCCCAGCGCGACGTCACTGCAGGAACATTTAGACTTTATGTCTCCAGGATCCTGTTTTTATTGTTTTATGATTCAGGTTTTATCTCACGAGAGACTAAACCAGGACTAAACCAGGACTAAACCAGACTAAACCAGGACTAAACCAGAACTAAACCAGGACTAAACCAGGACTAAACCAGACTAAACCAGAACTAAACCAGGACTAAACCAGGACTAAACCAGAACTAAACCAGGACTAAACCAGAACTAAACCAGGACTAAACCAGACTAAACCAGAACTAAACCAGGACTAAACCAGACTAAACCAGGAACTAAACCAGGACTAAACCAGAACTAAACCAGGACTAAACCAGAACTAAACCAGAACTAAACCAGGACTAAACCAGGACTAAACCAGACTAAACCAGGACTAAACCAGGACTAAACCAGGACTAAACCAGACTAAACCAGGACTAAACCAGGACTAAACCAGAACTAAACCAGGACTAAACCAGAACTAAACCAGGACTAAACCAGGACTAAACCAGGACTAAACCAGGACTAAACCAGGACTAAACCAGACTAAACCAGGACTAAACCAGGACTAAACCAGACTAAACCAGGAACTAAACCAGGACTAAACCAGAACTAAACCAGGACTAAACCAGACTAAACCAGGACTAAACCAGGGACTAAACCAGGACTAAACCAGAACTAAAACCAGGACTAAACCAGGACTAAACCAGGACTAAACCAGAACTAAACCAACTAAACAGAACTAAACCAGGACTAAACCAGGAACTAAACCAGGACTAAACCAGGACTAAACCAGAACTAAACCAGGACTAAACCAGGACTAAACCAGAAACTAAACCAGGACTAAACCAGGACTAAACCAGGACTAAACCAGAACTAAACCAGGACTAAACCAGGACTAAACCAGAACTAAACCAGGACTAAACCAGGACTAAACCAGACTAAACCAGGACTAAACCAGAACTAAACCAGGACTAAACCAGGACTAAACCAGGACTAAACCAGGTCTAAACCGGGTCTAACGCAGGTGTGTTCCAGGTTCTGGGAGTCAGCGTCTTCCTCAGTGGCTCACTGGGATCATCGCGGTCGTCGGGTTCCTCTTCCTCACCTTCGTGGTTTTCCTCGTCAAAAGAGCCTGGTGTGAAAAACCTAAAGGGTAACCACGGCAACACGGACTCACACACACCAGGACTGGACCAGGACTAAACCAGGACTGGACCAGGACTGAACCAGGACTGAACCAGGACTCGTCAGGCTCGTTCGTCATCTTGGCTGAAGTCCCTGAGGTGGTTAAAGTTCCTCGGTGGATGATCCGTCCTGAGGATCTTCAGTCTCTGGATGTTGTGGGTTTGTCTGACGTGTCTCTGCAGCGTCGAACCTCGGACCTGGACCAGCTCCAGGTTCTGGACCAGCTCCAGGTTCTGGACCAGCTCCAGGTTCTGGACCAGCTCCAGGTTCATGGACACAGTTTCTGGGTCAGTCAGGGTCCGGAGGGTTCGGTTTGGGGACCACAGGATCATCTCTGCTGTTCACAGATGATGTTGTCCTGTTGTCTTCATCAGACCAGGACCTGCAGCTCTGGGGCGGTTTGACCCGAGTGTGAAGCGTCTGGATGAAGATCAGATCCTCCAAACCCGAGGTCGTTGGTTCTTGACCGGAAAAAGTCGTCTTGTCTCTGGGCGAGTGGAGAGTCTCTGCCTCAAGTGGACGAGTTCAAGTGTCTCAGGGTCTTGTTCTGGAGCGAGACTGACAGGTGGACACAGCGTGGGCAGACTGACAGGTGGACAGGTGCGGCGTGGGCAGACTGACAGGTGGACAGGTGCAGCGTGCAGGTGACAGACGTGCAGGTGCAGCGTGGGCAGATGACAGGTGGACAGGTGCGTGGGCAGACTGACAGGTGGACAGGTGCGGCGTGGGCAGACTGACAGGTGGACAGGTGCGGCGTGGGCAGACTGACAGGTGGACAGGTGCGGCGTGGGCAGATTGACAGGTGGACAGGTGCGGCGTGGGCAGACTGACAGGTGGACAGGTGCGGCGTGGGCAGATTGACAGGTGGACAGGTGCGGCGTGGGCAGACTGACAGGTGGACAGGTGCGGCGTGGGCAGACTGACAGGTGGACAGGTGCGGCGTGGGCAGACTGACAGGTGGACAGGTGCGGCGTGGGCAGACTGACAGGTGGACAGGTGCGGCGTGGGCAGACTGACAGGTGGACAGGTGCGGCGTGGGCAGACTGACAGGTGGACAGGTGCGGCGTGGGCAGACTGACAGGTGGACAGGTGCGGCGTGGGCAGACTGACAGGTGGACAGGTGCGGCGTGGGCAGACTGACAGGTGGACAGGTGCGGCAGTGATGCGGTCGCTGTGTCGGTCGTTGTGGTGAAGAGGAGCTGAGTCTGGGTTTGGTTCGGGCGTCTCCCTTAGAGACAGAGTGAGGAGCTCAGAGTAGAGACGCTGCTCCTCCACATCGAGACCTCAAGGTCCCGTAGGAGGAACCAGGACTAAACCAGGACTAAACCAGGAACTAAACCAGGACTAAACCAGGACTCAGGACTAAACCAGGACTAAACCAGGACTAAACCAGGACTAAACCAGGACTAAACCAGGACTAAACCAGGACTAAACCAGGAGGACTAAACCAGACTAAACCAGGACTAAACCAGGACTAAACCAGGACTAAACCAGAACTAAACCAGGACTAAACCAGGACTAAACCAGAACTAAACCAGGACTAAACCAGGACTAAACCAGACTAAACCAACTAAACCAGGACTAAACCAGAACTAAACCAGAACTAAACCAGGACTAAAAACTAAACCAGACTAAACCAGGACTAAACCAGGACTAAACCCAGGACTAAACCAGGAACTAAACCAGAACTAAACCAGGACTAAACCAGAACTAACTAAACCAGGACTAAACCAGGACTAAACCAGAACTAAACCAGGACTTAAACCAGGACTAAACCAGGAACTAAACCAGAACTAAACCAGGACTAAACCAGGACTAAACCAGGACTAAACCAGAACTAAACCAGAACTAAACCAGACTAAACCAGACTAAACCAGGACTAAACCAGAACTAACTAAACCAGGACTAACCAGGACTAAACCAGAACTAAACCAGGAACTAAACCAGGACCAGAACTAAACCAGGACTAAACCAGAACTAAACCAGAACTAAACCAGAACTAAACCAGGACTAAACCAGAACTAAACCAGAACTACTAAACCAGACTAAACCAGACTAAACCAGGACTAAACCAGAACTAAACCAGAACTAAACCAGGACTAAACCAACTAAACCAGAACTAAACCAGACTAAACCAGGACTAAACCAGAACTAAACCAGGACTAAACCAGGACTAAACCAGAAACTAAACCAGAACTAAACCAGGACTAAACCAGAACTAAACCAGGACTAAACCAGGACTAAACCAGAACTAAACCAGAACTAAACCAGAACTAAACCAGGTCTAAACCAGGACTAAACCAGGTCTAGACCTCGTACACAGGGAGCAGATACAAACTCAGATGTTTTTACAGTAAATGTTTGTGTTTTTTTCAGGAACATCGTGAACGTGGAATCGGCCAAACCCAACGATTACGTCTACGCCAAGAACTTCCAACGGTAAAAAAACATCACACACAGACCTGGAGTCCTGTTTGTTTCATTCACACGTTTAACACACAAACCTGCAGAAAACACCCTGTCCCACCTCGTGACGTCATCATGTGGCGATACAGGAAGTGCTCCACTGTGTTTTTAAACTGCACACACCTTCACTAGAATCATTTTGGATCATTTCAGTTCTGGAGTTGTTCATCTCTGCTGAACTAAAGAGGGAAAAGGAGCTGAGAACTTGGAAACTCCCACTTGATGACATCACCAGGTGGAGCAGAGCAGGTGTAGACAGACAAATAATGCAGAGTCACTCAAACATGCGAATAAAACAAAAGACGAGTTTGTGACGAGACAAAAAGAGAAGTTTACATTTACAGAAAGTGACGCCTCAGACACGTTTTTAATGAATAAGTCAATTTAAATTTAGACGACGTTGAACAAAAACGAAAAACAGAAACTTTCTAACACCACAGACGTGAAGAACAGGAAGTGACTTTATAAACTCCAAACGGTGAAACGAGGTAAATCTCAGTGAAACAAAGTAAATCTCTGTGAAACAAAGTAAATCTCGGTGAAACAAAGTAAATCTCAGTGAAACGAGGTAAAACTCTGTGAAACTCGGTGAAACTCGGTAAATCTCGGTGAAACTCGGTAAATCTCAGTGAAACAAAGTAAATCTCGGTGAAACAAAGTAAATCTCGGTGAAACTCTGTAAATCTCAGTGAAACAAAGTAAATCTCGGTGAAACAAGGTAAATCTCGGTGAAACTCTGTAAATCTCGGTGAAACTCTGTAAATCTCGGTGAAACTCGGTAAATCTCGGTGAAACTCTGTAAATCTCGGTGAAACTCTGTAAATCTCAGTGAAACGAGGTAAAACTCGGTGAAACTCGGTGAAACTCGGTAAATCTCGGTGAAACTCGGTAAATCTCAGTGAAACTCTGTAAATCTTGGTGAAACTCAGTAAACCTCGGTGAAACTCTGTAAATCTCTGTGAAACAAAGTAAATCTCGGTGAAACTCTGTAAATCTCAGTGAAACGAAGTAAATCTCGGTGAAACAAGGTAAATCTCGGTGAAACTCGGTAAATCTCGGTGAAACTCCGTAAATCTCAGTGAAACTCTGTAAATATCGGTGAAACTCAGTAAATCTCAGTGAAACGAAGTAAATCTCAGTGAAACTCCGTAAATATCGGTGAAACTCAGTAAATCTCGGTGAAACTCAGTAAATCTCAGTGAAACTCCGTAAATCTCAGTGAAACTCTGTAAAACTCAGTAAATCTCGGTGAAACGAAGTAAATCTCGGTGAAACGAGGTAAATCTCAGTGAAACGAGGTAAATCTCGGTGAAACGAAGTAAATCTCTGTGAAACGAAGTAAATCTCTGTGAAACAAAGTAAATCTCGGTGAAACTCAATAAATCTCGGTGAAACGAAGTAAATCTCAGTGAAACAAGGTAAATCTCGGTGAAACTCTGTGAAACTCGGTGAAACTTGGCGAAACTCTATGAATCTCGGTGAAACGTGGAGCAGAAGGTTGAGAGAGTTTGAACGTGTGACCTTCACGTGTCCTTCAGCTGAACGTTCAGGCTCTTGATGAAGCGTCAGCAGGTTCTTCTGTTAATCTGGGGTCAGAGGGGAACGAGCCAATGAGACGTGACGACACTAGAGGAACCATCGCTGTGGTGACCAAAGCGACCGACCTGAGCGGCCATGTTGAGACTGTGAACAGAACTCAGGGTCGTGCAGATGATTCGCTCCAGATTTAAAGGATCCTGTGAAAAAAGATAAAAGACTTTAATTTGAAATGTGTTATTACCGCGACAACAGAACAGTTACCGTGACAACAGAACAGTCACCGCGACAACAGAACAGTCACCGCGACAACAGTATCACAGACTGAATCAAATCTACACTCCTCATCTAACCCTGTGTGTTTGTGTATGTTTATGTGTTTATGTGTGTGTTTGTGTGTTTATGTGTTTATGTGTGTGTTTGTGTGTTTATGTGTGTGTTTGTGTGTTTATGTGTGAGTTTATGTGTGTTTGTGTTTATGTATTTATGTGTTTGTGTATTTATGTGTTTGTGTGTTTATGTGTTTGTGTGTGTTTGTGTGTTTATGTGTGTGTGTTTATGTGTTTGTGTATTTATGTGTGTTGTGTGTTTGTGTGTTTATGTGTTTGTGTGTGTTTGTGTGTTTATATGTGTGTTTATGTGTTTGTGTGTTTATGTGTTTGTGTATTTATGTGTGTGTGTGTGTTTGTGTGTGTTTGTGTGTTTATATGTGTGTTTATGTGTTTGTGTATTTATGTGTGTGTGTGTGTGTTTGTGTGTGTTGTGTGTGTTTATGTGTGTTTGTGTGTTTGTGTATTTATGTGTTTGTGTATTTATGTGTTTATGTGTTTGTGTGTGTTTATGTGTGTGTTTGTGTGTGTATTTATGTGTGTGTGTGTGTGTGTTTGTGTGTTTATGTGTGTGTGTGTGTTTGTGTGTGTGTTTGTGTGTTTATGTGTGTGTTTGTGTGTGTGTGTTTGTGTGTGTGTGTGTTTGTGTGTGTATTTATGTGTGTGTGTGTGTGTGTTTGTGTGTGTGTGTGTTTGTGTGTGTTTGTGTGTGTTTATGTGTGTGTTTGTGTGTTTATGTGTGTGTGTTTGTGTGTGTGTGTGTGTGTGTTTGTGTGTTTGTGTGTGTGTATTTATGTGTATGTGTGTGTTTGTGTGTTATGTGTGTTTGTGTGTTTGTGTGTTTATGTGTGTGTTGTGTGTGTGTGTGTGTGTGTGTTTGTGTGTTTGTGTGTGTTTGTGTGTTTGTGTGTGTATTTATGTGTATGTGTGTGTTTGTGTGTTTATGTGTTTGTGTGTTTATGTGTGTGTTTGTGTGTGTGTGTTTTGTGTGTTTATGTGTGTGTGTGTGTGTGTGTGTGTGTTTGTGTGTTTGTGTGTGTATTGTATGTGTATGTGTGTGTTTGTGTGTTTTGTGTGTTATGTGTGTTTATGTGTGTGTTTGTGTTTGTGTGTTTGTGTGTTTATGTGTGTATTTATGTGTGTGTGTTTGTGTGTTTCAGGGAGGAGGAGGAGATGAATACCTACATAAATTCGGCTCTGGACAAAAATGAGGAAACGATCACGGCCATGTGACCTGAACGCAGCGCTGTGATTGGACGAGGCGGCTCCGGCTCCGCCCCCTCAGCCCCGAGTGACACTTTTACATTTCCATGTTTCACCTCATGACACAGAGTTTATCTGAAGCCCTCACACCCCCTGAAACAAACAAACAAACAAACAAACAAACAAACAAACCCTCCTGAAACAAACAAACAAACCCTCCTGAAACAAACAAACAAACCCTCCTGAAACAAACAAACAAACAAACAAACACTCCTGAAACAAACAAACAACAAACCCTCCTGAAACAAACAAACAAACAAACAAACAATCCCTCCTGAAACAAACAAACAAACAAACCCTCCTGAAACAAAACAAACAAACCCTCCTGAAACAAACAAACACTCCTGAAACAAACAAACAAACAAACCCTCCTGAAACAAACAAACAAACAAACAAACAAACAAATCCCTCCTGAAACAAACAAACAAACAAACAAACACTCCTGAAAACAAACAAACAACAAACAAACACTCCTGAAACAAAACAAACAAACAAACAAACAAACAATCCCTCCTGAAACAAAAAAACAAAAAAACCCTCCTGAAACAAATAAACCCTCCTGAAACAAACAAACAAACAAACAAACAAACCCTCCTGAAACAAACAAACAAACAAACAAACAAACAAACCCTCCTGAAACAAACAAACAAACAAACAAACAAACAAACAAACAAACCCTCCTGAACCCTCCTCTCAGATCAAACTTTTCAGAAAACTCAAACCTTTATTTTTTTTTTTCTGTTTTAATCATTTGAGCACAAAAAATTAAAATGATTCTGTTGTATTTATATTTTTACTCCATCAGTGTCAATAAAAACTCTAAACCAAACACGAGGCTCAGTGTGGCTCATTACGGCTCATTACGGCTCATTACGGCAAAGTCTGAATAAAACGAAACGAGATAAACTTTTGTTTGTCCCACAGCGGAGAAATTCCAGTGTTGCAACGCACAGTTCACAAACAGCAGAACACAGAACACAGAACATAGAACACAGAACTGTACACAATCATAGTTCAGATTAAAAAGTTGTTAGAATTTGAATAAAATCAACACTGAGAGAGTGAAACATGAAACTCCACACGAGACTCTCAGTGTGTCCAGAGCAACAAGACGACAAACTGTCAAGTGTGTGTGTGTTGTGTGTGTCTGTGTGTTTTGTGTGTGTGTGTGTCTGTGTGTGTGTGTGTGTGTGTGTGTGTGTGTGTGTGTGTGTGTGTGTGTGTGTCTGTGTGTGTTTTGTGTGTGTGTGTGTTGTGTGTTTGAGTAAAGTCCAGATTGAGTCAAACATTAAATTTTGACTCTGAATAATTAACTCAGGTTTAAACTTTCACACTGATGTCACATGAGCTCAGGGACAAAGAGACACAGAGACACAAAACTCAAATTATGGTCCTAGAGTAAGAAGCTGTCAAAAATATTCGTGCGCATAAAATAGAAATCCATGCATATTTGGCTGTAGTTGCGCATAAAATAAATATTTGTAAACTCTCAAATGAGTCCAGTCGTACATCAAATATATTGTGTGTATTTTATCCATCAGAATACGAATTGAAAAATTACGACGTCATGAATTACAATCACGAAATGAAAATTTACGATTACACTTTCATCAGTACGAATACGAATTCACAGACGGAACTTTACTGTCAAAAATACATCATCACTTCACAGACATTATCCATCGAGCAGAAGAAACATCGCTGTGGTTTCCTTTGTTATTATTATTTTTTAATAAAGACAATAACAAAATGGACTGAAGCAGATGGATTTAAACTGAATCAGATCAGATTAAACACAGAGAGAAATCAACACAAGAAACTCGGGAAATGTTCAAAAATAAAATCCTAAATTCTTCTGTCATACTGAGTGATTTGACAGATTTATTTTTAGAAATAGTTTAGAGTTTGCAGATTATTCTTCTGCTTTGTTTGTACTCGTAGGTCAGACATGTCCAAACTATGGCACGTGGGCCAAATGCGGCCCTCAGACTAATTTTTCTTGGCCCTCAGGCTTCCAGGAGAATTGGCCCAAATGACCTGCATCAATGAAAAATTTACTTTTTTAAAATTTTATTTACCTTGATAAAGCCAGTATTTAATATTTAATGTGGTTTTAAGGATCTTAACGTAAACAAAGACTGATGACTCATTCTAACGAGTTAAACCTGCACAGATTTCAATTATTCATGAAACGAATCATGATAAAACAATAAATTACTTTTACTGACGTCTCCAACTTCTCCGTTCCTTTACTTTTCACGTTGTAGTTCTTCTTCTTCACTTGCCGCTTGATCATCCATCAGAAAACAGAGTCCCACGGTCACTTCTGTTGTGGCTTTTTAATGTGTTGTGGCTTTTTAATGTGTTGTGGCTTTTGTGTTTGTGTTGTAGTGTTTGTATTTCTTGCGGCGTTTGCGTTTGTTGTGACTCTCGGCTTCCGTAGTTTGTTGAAATCACAAACATTCAGATATTTAATCCTTCATTTATTCAGTATAAATCTTTGATCATCATGTTGATTGTTGTATTTTCTCTCTGCCTGTTATACATTTTTTGTCCACTTGATGTCGCAGTGGAGCAAATGAAACACGTTGAAGCTTCGGCTCAAGAGTCGAGCAAACAGACGGAACTCTTCAGAGCTTCACGGAGCTTCATCTCCACGACACAAGGGTCTGGGATTGGAGGATTTGGTTTTATGAAGGTGAAATGGTTCATGTGAATTCCTGTTTCTTCTTCTTCTTGTTTTCCCCTCTTCTTTATGTTTGTGAGTCTGGAGCTGGACGGAGACTTTGGAACCAAACTCACCTCTGGCTCCGCCCACGACTCAGCTGCAGCTGATCTGTCAATCACCTCAAGACGTGTGCAGGGTCAAAGGGCGGCTCAACCACCCCACACCTCCCCACATCCACACTTTACCCCACGAGGAACAGCCTGGGCTCCGGTTTTTGTCTTTCGAGTTTTTGCCTCTTCTTTCTCAGTTCTCAGTTTGTCTTTTTCTCGTTTTTTTTTTTTTTTTTCTAGTGATGGTCAAATGAAGCCCCATGAACCATCTGAGGCTTTCAGGCAATTGTACTGGTGCAGGAGTCAACGCCTCGCCAAGTGGTGCAATATGTTCAACTACACCAGAGGTGCTCAATACGTCGATGTCGATCTACCAGTCGATCTCCAAGGTCGTGTGGGTAGATCTCCGTGTCTCGTCTCGGACTCGTGTTTGGACTCGGTCTTGTCTCTCACTCGAGGTCTGACACTCAACAAGTGTGATCATATTTCATTCCGGCCGCTGCTGTTGGTAATAAACTTGTAGCGGGTGCAGGAGCGTGTGGGGCGTCTCAGTGCAGCCTGTGCGCTCATTTGAAACCCGCGGAGACTCTACGGCGCATCACAAACACACACGCTCCCTATGCACGGCTCGTCTGCGACAGCGTGTGCCCTCGTGTACCAGCGTGCATCACAGGGCAGGTTCAACTTCCTAAACATCCTACCTGTCCACCTGCCTCACGTCAGCACGCCGCCCCTCGCCTTTTCACGCTCTCGCTCCTTCCTGCGTACAGCGAACACAAGCCCCTCCCACAGTGCGGCTGATTAGAAGAACAAGACCAAACGTGAAGCAAAAACCAGTCTAAATTTGTGTTCCAGTGTTGGCACAAAGCAGGTCTACAGCATAGAGCGGATCTACAGAACAGACCTACTGCCACATTTGGCTGAAGTTTGTCTAACAAAAGTGACAAATGCATCTGTGTTTGTCACGATGTGCGTTTGGTTTGGTAAACGTGCAGAGGCTGGTAAATATCACTGCAAAACCAGAAGAGAATGAAACTCCAGTTTGGAACTTTAAAAAACAGATTTAAAAATCTTCCTTCACTTTTTTCACAGTTTTGTGTAAAATGCCAGAGGAAGTTCTCTTAAAGAAGAGGTTCTCAAACTGTGGGGGAGGGTCCAAAAAAGGGCCACAGAGTGTGTCAGTGCAGTTTGTTTGAGCAAAAGATGTTCATTTTGTCTTCTTATATACTTTAACTTCTTGGGTTCTTTTTAAAGAACCACGGGTGACAGTTCTGAAGATGCTTGCAGCAGCAGCCGAAACATGTCAACAAGGTAAACACACTTTACTGCATTGTCTTTAAAAAGAACCCAAGAAGTTATTAGCAGTTAGTTTTGACTTTGGTATTAAATAAAAAGATCCTCAATTCTCTAATCTTCTTCTCTATCAAGTATTTATATGAAGCACCGTCCACATCAAACACACAAACACCTCAGAGACAAACAGACGATCAACACGACTATAAACTGTCCCAGTGCTTCTTCTGATCCACTTCAGCTGTGACAAAATCCATGAAATTTGCTTCAGTAACATAAATATAATTTTAGAGCTAAAAGAATGTTGAACTGACTGTACGTCATGTTCAATGAAAAAAAACTAATACAAGAAAATACGTAGGTTACACGGACATGTTCTGGTAGTAAAACCAAAATACTCTAGAAATAAGAAGCTTCTTTTAGCAGGTGAAAGTTAGAATAAAGTGAAAATGAATTTTACGTAACACAGTAAATGAACCAATGACGTCATCTTCACGAAAGCAACGACTCACGTTCACAGGTCACGTGGTTTTTGGCACATCTGACGCAAACCTCGAATCAGGGCTTCACTCGACACGCCCCCCTTTTACTCGACACGCCCCCTTTTACTTGACACGCCCCCTTTTACTTGGTACAAGCCTATTATTAGAAATACTGTTTAGAGTTTGCAGATTGTTCTTAAAGTCGAGGAGATTGGTCGTAAATCAGGGTCTGGGATTGGAGGATTTGGATTTATGAATGTGAAATGGTTTATTAAATATTTAACTTTATATTTTTTATGACAGAAGTGAGTGTGATGTTTGAGGCGTCAAATGAATCTGACAGATGTTTTTTGTTTGTTTTTCCTTTGAGTCTTTACAAAAATAAAAGACTTTGGCAAAAGTTGGTTTGGTGGATTTTGTGATTTATTTTCCAGTGTGGTTCTTTGATCTTGTCGGACTTGCAGGATTTACTCCAGTCCATATTTGGCTCAGGGTTTGTTCCTTCTGTTTGTTACTAATGACTCAGGAAGCAGAAAATCTCAGCATCAGGAAACAGTCGCCTGCACAAACAGACGGGACGGGACACGACGCTCCACTCGCCTCAGACGCTCCTCAAGGGATTCAGATTCTTTTTCTTTTTTGTTCAACTTTATTCTTGTAATTTGCTCTAATCTAAACTCCATCTTAATGAGTCTGGACGATCTTTTCACATTTCCCCTGCACACGGAGGAGGACGAGCGCCGC